CAAGAAAAACTGCAGAACTGCAGTCAGCTGAAGTAGCCTACAGTGCTGCATTTAACCACTGCGCCATCTCGGCTCTGTTGAACTTAAATTCTCACAAGGCCACTCCACTGCTTATCCATGCAATGGGCAATTCCAGAAATAGTCTCATCGCTTAATCTTGACTATGTTGGATGGCTGCAGTCTTAAAGTTTTTCTTGCCTCTCCATGCCAAGAGGTGGAGGAAGAGGGTGTCTGAAGACCTTCTCGAGGTCCTATAACACACCATGTGGTTAGAAAATTGTTCTTATACAAAGGATGCTTTTTTTCAGGAGGCAACTGGATAGTGAAGAATGGAAGGATTTATATTCCTTGCAAACAGCTAGTCATTTGTATCCTTTTAGAGGGTCGTTGAAGCATTTGGAGGTTTATCTGTGTCCTCAGGGTCACCTTGGTTCCTGTAGTCTGCAATATTTTTTTTTGCAAATACCAACTGTCTGCAAGGAATATAAATGCTTCAATTCCCTGCTATCAGGTCAGAGCTGAAGAAGCTTCTTGGGTGAGAAGTGAAACTTCTTCAAAGAAAAAACAAGAAAGTCCAGTTGCCTCCTGAAAAGAGCACCTTTGGGACAACCATGATGTGGATGACTGAGAATCTCTACAGACTCTTATACAAAAGCACACCCCTTTCCGGAGGTCCAAATTAAAAGCCAAACACAATGGCCATCCTTAGTGAAGGATTACCTTTTCCAACATTGCTGATAAGCCGCTTTTCTGATTTTCTCCCTCTCTAGATGCCAGCAGCCTATTTGCAGTGAACCAGTCCACAGGAGTCATCACTGTGAATAGTGACCTGGACCGAGAAGGTGTGCCAGGTGAAGAGGTGCAATTTCACATTGTTGTGAGTAGCAAAGCAGCCCTGGGAAATGGTTGCTTGCTCTATGTCCTCCTTTACTCCTACTTTTTGTCAAAGGCCTGTTAGTATATGAAAATCTTTTAGTATACAAAAGCATCAAATTACTAAACTATAAGTAGACCTCCAAACTCTCTCTCTTGCTTCAATGGACAGGCTCGAGAAAAACACCTGAACATTTACCACCAAGTGGCACAAGTGACCTCCCAGGTGACCATCCATATCACCGATATCAACGATAACAAACCTCAGTTTTATTTATGCACGGCTCCTCCCTGCAACTTCACAGGCCCTATAGACGTCGATGTTTTAGGTCAGATCGAGGAACATGCTTCTGCCAGAACACCTGTGGCCAACCTCAGCATTGTAGCCTATGATCCTGACAAGGTGAGCGTTTGGGGATTTGGGTGGCCTTTTATCTTTTATTTTTATCTTGCCTTTGCTTCAAATGCTCTAGGTGGAATTACAAGGTGGACTCCTATAGTGTAGTTTATCTCCACAGCACCAGCCCTGCAAAGTAGATTGGGCCGACAGCAATCAACTGCCAAGGTGGCGCAGTGGTTAGGGTGCAGTATTGCAGGCCACTTCAGCTGACTGCTATCTGCAGTTCAGCGGTTCAAATCTCACCGGCTCAAGGTTGACTCAGCCTTCTA